TACAATGCTAAGGTTGTGACATAGCATATTCACAACTAAGGTATTCCTTCCTTAATTTACAGTATTGTAAAATAATTTAGAGTCAAAATTTGATACGCATTAAAACTGTCATAGTGGGAAATACCATGTTGATTCCAAATAATCATCAAAAAAATCTGAGATGGTTGCAGAGGAAATTTAAAGAAAAATCTGATTGTGAATTTGTGTGTGAGAGAGAAAACAAAGCAACCTAATCTGGGGTTTCGCAAACTCTTCCATATTGTGTACCTCAGATATTGTCTTGTGAACCATTTTTTCCCTTCAACTTGTAATGCTGCAGATCATCTCCCCTCCCATTTGCAGTCCTATCCCTGTGTAACTTCAGAAATGTACATAGAAAAGTAATATTAAATAAGTACTTAATATTTTTTAGATTCCTTTTCCTGCAGTTTAGCAGCTGGATATGGGGAGCCACCAGCACCATAGAGTTACAGGATGTGTGTGTGTATGTTGTGGCTGAAAGTAGAAATGAATTTGTTATGGAGGCACGGACCCTAATTAATATGGTGTGCATGTTAAGTAAGGTGTCTTTGATACTAACAGTGAAACATTTAAATTTTTGGTAGTGGGGTAGATGTTACAGAATATTTCCTATTACTTCCAGACATTCTGTGAATCTTTCATTCTTCTAATTGCCTTTTATCATCTTATCTCATTGATCACCTACATTGGGCATTACTCCTTGAAGCATGTTTGTTTACATATTTCACTCAGATATTGGCCATTTATTTTGATCAGAGGTGACACACTTAGAAATATCAATTTCTTATCATAGAGACTTTGATTAAATATGGCATATTTCCATTTGAAGTTGTAGAAATATACAGTAATTAATTTTCTTTATTGACTTGCATCTCGTGATATTTTTCTTTCCTATCGTTTTCTCCTCACTGGATGAAGGTGCAAGTAGCTGTCTTTGTTAAATAAATATTAAGTAATATTGCATACAGATACTGTTAAGAAAACATTACAGTTGCATGTTTAAGCATTCAAGTCTGGAAATACCAGTGATAAGACTTGATGTGTAACCTCAATGTTGTCTCTTCTGCATATGCATTACAGTGTTTTTAAAATTTCTCAATTATAGTATCACAGTTTTTTTCTGTAAGCTTAGATACATATCTTGCAATGGTTTTTCATTGTACAGTAAGCTGATTTCATTGTAATTTTCCAGTGTATATTTATCAATTGAAGGCAAAAAATTAGGGTCACTAAAGCCTTGGAAATAATAATAATCAAGAATTGGAGATCTACCCTGTTCCTCCAGTGTACCCTATGAAAATGACCAAATGAAACACTAGTACCTCATTTCCAGTTTGGGAATCCCACAGAAATATTGTGTACTCTGCATGGAAGGACATTGTAAGGAGAGGGTGGGGGGCATGAACAAATTATGCCAGAAACTATATAGTCTTAAGAAAGAGAGGCCATAAATTTTTCATGGTCCCTAAAGTGGGCTTGTCCATTACCCGGACTTACCAATAAAACTACCTATCAAGTGAATGGGCAGTCACTCTGAAGAATCCTGATAAGCTTGAATGCACGGAAATGAGACTTCAGTCTGCAGCCTTGGCCTGCCTGGTGATTTTCATGGTCTCTGTTTCCAGGGTTTAGACCTGGGGTAAGCTGCAAAGGTCTAAACCCAAGGGCTTGAAAAAATTGAAAGCTGCTCAAAGGTCTATCAACCTCTGTATCATTCCTCTGACCTCTGTTGCTACATCCCATTCTTCATCTCTGTTTTGTGTTTACCACCACAAAGCCTAAGTGGCAGACATCATTTCTTGATCTTATCTAGTTCAGTCTCTTTTTGGCAGCCTTACACTTCTTGCAGAAGCACTGGACGCAGTGATTTAAGAGTCCTATGACTTGATCGAGCTCAAGCTGTTGTAGAACAAGTAGTGTTTTCAGTCAAATATTTAAACAGTCTGGAGACCTGAGCTCTTGTTCCCGCAAACACCTCTTTTACTCCTTTTTTGACAAATCCAGGAGCTCTTCAGAAGCCTGGAAACAAGAAAAAGCTACAATATAGTAGTAATTTTACTAACTTGGGCCAGTACTACTCAAGACATATGGATAAAAACCATCTACAGAGTCTGTTCTTCAAAACTTTCCTCCAATATGCATGCTTCCCTCCTCTCCTCCAACACCAAAATTTCAGGGGACACAATGAAATGAGAAACAATACTTTCCTACATTCCACATCTTTGAATATGGGAGTTCCTCATCAGGATCAGCCACATTCTTCTGTGGGCTTAAGAAGCCCTCAGAGCAGTTTTCACTCTTTTGCCCTCAATTGGCCAGTCATGTAGTCCATACTTAGAACAAAGAACCAACTGTCTCTCCTGATATAGAAAACTTCAAAAGGCAGTACCTTCATTTTACCTCAATGCTTTCCCCAGCCACTATTTCCCTTTCCCGAAATAAGCAAACAGGAAAATAACAAACCAGTAGCTTAGAGGTTTGCTTCTCCTCCCTTTATAGTGCCATAAACCTTTGAAAGCATCTCTCTCAAAGTTCATTGACCTTGCTTCTACAGACAGGATGACCTCATGCTGTTCTTCCCTTCCTGTCATCTTCCCATCCCCCTACTGATGTCTATGTAAATTGGGCTTCCATTGTTTTTTGTCACACCTTGTTTAATTTCTTTGGAGACAGGTAGATAGCAGTGATGTTTCCTCCTGCCTGGGAGGGAAACTGTTTCTCCCTGTTTGGTCACAGGCTTTAAAGCATAATATCATTAAATGTATATAATTTCCTCATATATACATTAGCTTTTAAAAAAGACCTCTCTATACACTTTGTATACAATATTACCGTATTATAAAAAAAACAGTTGATTCAATTACTTAATGCCTTGAGGTTCAGCCACCCTGTCTTTAGTGACCAGGAAAGCTTATTTAAGCTTTGAGGAAGGCAACATAGAGTCTGGTGGTGATGGAAGCTCCATGCTCTTTCTTCCTCCACTGGTGTTTGCTAAAATGCAAATTTTCTGTTTCTGCAATCTCCTGCCTTGTTTGATGACTCTGTTTGTTGCTTATATATAAATTGAGGTAAACCCGTATTCCCTTGTTTAATACAGACTGTGTTTATATGTTGCTTGCCAAACACATTTTAAGAATGATTCTAGCACATATTCATTACTTTTTGTACACATCCTGTGCATACATCATACAAGAATATTAATGATCAGTGAGTTATTAGTTTTCCAATGATACCTTACATGTCACCTTTGAGATGCAGATTATGACAACAGTGTGTGAGGCATAATCAGTATGTCAGGCCTGATCAACTGCTGCCAGAGTAGAGCACCACAAATTGGCCTCTGTGTCATAATCATGATGGGATTAACTTGGAGGAAGAGTTTACCGATCTGTAGCCAAAACCCTTCATATTACAGAGTATTAGCCCGCCATCTTGCTTGATTCTCCTCCCTAAAAAAATATGTCAGGAGCTCTTAAGCAGCTTATTCATGAGGATATAAATATGGCTTGACATTGGGTATGGGCAGCCTAGGATGTGGGTGAAACTGAGGTCAGGGCTAGTACTGTGGGGTGGCAAGTACTATGTAAATATGCTTGGCTTCAAACATCTGAGTTCCATGAGTTGGTTTAGAAAGAGCTCAGGGACCTGTTTTGTACCAGAGATAACTCTTTTGGGCTCCAGTTGGTGGCCTTTTTGCATGATTGGTCATGAACATCCTCTATTACAATATTATACATAAAGGAGATTTTTAAAAGTAGTTAAATGCTAATTTCCATTCAGAGTCAATGGGAGTTAGGCACCTAACTGCCATTTGTCTTTAAATCTCCCACCTCCCTCCAAAAACCTTTTGTATTAGATCAACTGACATTTCTTATAAACAGTGTCTCTGAATAAACTTCATAGTCTATTTTTTCCAACATTTAAATAAAGGCTCAGCCTTTAAGTTTTCCTTTTCCTTTCATTAACTTTAAAGAAATCCCTTAACCTGCAATATAGATATCTACGAAATATCTAACCTATTTACATACTACTTCAGTTATCATTCAACTCAAGACATTCTCCCCTTACATGTTGTTTGTGTCTTTTTCTGCCTAATTTTTTTTGGATGCTACTTATCTGTTTTTTATATTTGCTTGAATGCTTAGCCCTCAGACCAAACTTAATTGCTATGTGAGGCAATTAAAAATTACTATATTTCTTTAACTCCTGTTTATTATTTTGGAGTCTTTAATGAGGCCATGGTTTAAAGGGTTTGTCAGTGCAAACTATGGATAGTTTTATAACGCTTATTATTAATAATTTACAGGACAAACCCAGATCAAAAAGACTGTTCCTGGCCCAAGGAGCTTACAGTCTTAGTATAAGACAAGAGACGACAGATTATGAAATAATGTTTGTTAGCATGATAGGCATTGGTCTCTGAATACTAGCAACCTAATATTGTGATGCCTACAAAAGAAATTTAACAAAGGCGATATTTTGAGGAGGGATTTGAAGATGGATAAGCCAGTGATTTGGTGGATTTTTACAGAGAATACTTCAGCTGAAGTGCATGGGGCAGCATAGAAGAATGTCCAAAGATGCTTGTTTGAAAATGTAACATGGGCAGTGGAGGCTGGCATCATGGGCTAATCGGAGATGAGCACTGGTAGCTTGCTTGTGAATGAGAGATTACAGATATGCCGGGGACTGACTGTGAAGAGTCTTGAAAGCAAAGACGAGCTGCTTATGTTTGAGGCAATAGAGAAGGGGGAGCCAGTGGAGGAATTCAAAGAGAGTTGATATGGTCAAAATGATAGTTGTGCCTGGTTTGCAGTAGCCAAACTGCTTTTAAACAGTGTTAAACGGAATCAGTTGTGAAATGATTCAGAAGGGGTTGGGAGTGGATGGGGACCCTTAATATATCTGTCATGCAAATATATTGGGGAAACAATTTGCCTTTTTTTGAACTTTTCTAAGTAGAGTTTTGTCTTTTCCAGGCCCAAATTGCCTTTCTTCAAGGGGAAAGGAAGGGACAAGAAAATCTGAAGAAGGATCTAGTGCGGAGAATCAAAATGCTGGAATATGCTCTTAAACAGGAAAGGTACATCACTTTTAAGATAATAGAGAATTTTGTTTAAAAAGTCTCTTACTAATATTTATTTTATATCATTTTGGCTCATCAGAGGAAAAATATTTTTTTGTAGATCTGAATCTTGAATTGGTAATTATGAACGTAAGAATTGTCATACTGAATCAGTCTATCTCATCCAGAATCCTGTCACCAACAGTGACCACTATTCAGATGCTTCAGAAAAAGGTTTAAAAAAACCTTGCATTAGACAATTACAGTATAACATCTCTCAGGGCAAGTTTCTTTCTAACT